TTTTAGGGCCCCCTCCCTTGGGCAGTGCCGGGCCCCTAATCTCCCTTTGGGCCCCCCTATACCCCCCATCCGGGCCTCCCATTGCTGTGTCTCCATGCCCTCACTCTGCCATGTGCCACTTTCAGGTCTCCCTCACACACATGCTGGTGTGTTGAATTTTTTGACATAGGGTGTGGGCAGATTACGGGCCTCACCATAGCTGCTGCCAGGCCCCTAATCTGCCATGGGCCCTATATATACCGCCTCCTCATGCTGCTGTCCAGGTCCAGAGTCACTCATGGGTCCCTGTACGGCCTCCATTGCTGCTGTCTCCATCGCCACACTCTGCATGTGCCACTTTCAGGTCTCCTCACACTGCTGGTGTGTTGAATTTTTTGACATAGTGGTGCTGGCAGATTACGGGCCTCCCATAGCTGCTGCCAGGCCCTCTAATCTGCCATGGGCCCCTATATACCGCCTCCTCATGCTGCTGCCAGGTCCAGAGTCTCTCATGGGTCCCTGTACGGCCTCCCATTTGTGCTGTCTCCATCGCCACACTCTGCCATGTGCCACTTTCAGGTCTCCTCACACACTGCTGGTGTGTTGAATTTTTTGACATAGGGTGCTGGCAGATTACGGGCCTCCCATTGCTGCTGCCAGGCCCCTAATCTGCCATGGGCCCCTATACCGCCTCCTCATGCTGCTGCCAGGTCCAGAGTCTCTCAAGTCATGGGTCCCTGTACGGCCTCCCTATTGCTGCTGTCTCCATCGCCACCTCTGCCATGTGCCACTTTCAGGTCTCCTCACACTGGCTGGTGTGTTCAATTTTTTGACATAGGGTGCTGGCAGATTACGGGCCTCCCATAGCTGCTGCCAGGCCCCTAATCTGCCATAGGCCCCTATATATACCGCCTCCTCATGCTGCTGCCAGGTCCAGAGAGTCTCTCATGGGTCCCTGTTACGGCCTCCCATTGCTGCTGTCTCCATCGCCACACTCTGCCATGTGCCACTTTAGGTCTCCTCACATGCTGGTGTGTTGAATTTTTTGACATAGGGTGCTGGCAGATTACGGGCCTCCCATAGCTGCTGCAGGCCCCTAATCTGCCATGGGCCCCTATACCGCCTCCTCATGGTGCTGCTGCAGGTCCACGGTCTCTCTTTGCTGCTGCTCATGTGCCACTTTCAGGTCTCCTCACACTGCTGGTGTGTTCAATTTTTTGACATAGGGTGCTGGCAGATTACGGGCCTCCCATAGCTGCTGCCAGGCCCCTAATCTGCCATGGGCCCCTATATACCGCCTCCTCATGCTGCTGCCAGGTCCAGAGTCTCTCATGGGTCCCTGTACGGCCTCCATTGCTGCTGTCTCCATCGCCACACTCTGCCATGTGCCACTTTCAGGTCTCCTCACACACTGCTGGTGTGTTGAATTTTTTGACATAGGGTGCTGGCAGATTACGGGCCTCCTATAGCTGCTGCCAGGCCCCTAATCTGCCATAGGCCCCTATATACCGCCTCCTCATGCTGCTGCCAGGTCCAGTGTCTCTCATGGGTCCCTGTACGGCCTCCCATTGCTGCTGTCTCCATCGCCACACTCTGCCATGTGCCACTTTCAGGTCTCTTCACACTGCTGGTGTGTTGAATTTTTTGACATAGGGTGCTGGCAGATTACGGGCCTCCCATAGCTGCTGCCAGGCCCCCCTATATCTGCCTCCTGGCTGCCATTCCGAGTCTCTCATGGGTCTGTACGGCCTCCCACTGCTGTCTCCATCCATGTGCCACTTTTCAGGTCTCCTCACACTGCTGGTGTGTTCAATTTTTTGACATAGGGTGCTGGCAGATTACGGGCCTCCCATAGCTGCTGCCAGGCCCCTAATCTGCCATGGGCCCCTATATACCGCCTCCTCATGCTGCTGCCAGGTCCAGAGTCTGTCATGGGTCCCTGTACGGCCTCCCATTGCTGCTGTCTCCATCGCCACACTCTGCCATGTGCCACTTTCAGGTCTCCTCACACACTGCTGGTGTGTTAAATTTTTTGACATAGGGTGCTGGCAGATTACGGGCCTCCCATAGCTGCTGCCAGGCCCCTAATCTGCCATGGGCCCCTATATACCGCCTCCTCATGCTGCCCCAGGTCCAGAGTCTCTCATGGGTCCCTGTACGGCCTCCCATTGCTGCTGTCTCCATCGCCACACTCTGCCATGTGCCACTTTCAGGTCTCCTCACACACTGCTGGTGTGTTGAATTTTTTTGACATAGGGTGCTGGCAGATTACGGGCCTCCCCATAGCTGCTGCCAGGCCCCTAATCTGCCATGGGCCCCTATATACACCTCCTCATGCTGCTGCCAGGTCCAGAGTCTCTCATGGGTCCCTGTACGGCCTCCCATTGCTGCTGTCTCCATCGCCACACTCTGCCATGTGCCACTTTCAGGTCTCTCACTCACACACTGCTGGTGTGTTGAATTTTTTGACATAGGGTGCTGGCAGATTACGGGCCTCCTATAGCTGCTGCCAGGCCCCTAATCTGCCATAGGGCCCCTATATACCGCCTCCTCATGCTGCTGCCAGGTCCAGAGTCTCTCATGGGTCCCTGTACGCCTCCCATTGCTGCTGTCTCATCGCCACACTCTGCCATGTGCCACTTTTCAGGTCTCTTCACACTGCTGGTGTGTTGAATTTTTTGACATAGGGTGCTGGCAGATTACGGGCCTCCCATAGCTGCTGCCAGGCCCCTAATCTGCCAAAATATACCGCCTCCTCATGCTGCTGCCAGGTCCAGAGTCTGTCATGGGTCCACGGCCTCCCATTGCTGCTGTCTCCATCGCCACACTCTGCCATGTGCCACTTTCAGGTCTCCTCACACACTGCTGGTGTGTTGTGTTGAATTTTTTGACATAGGGTGCTGGCAGATTACGGGCCTCCCATAGCTGCTGCCAGGCCCCTAATCTGCCATGGGCCCCTATATACCGCCTCCTCATGCTGCTGCCAGGTCCAGAGTCTCTCATGGGTCCCTGTACGGCCTCCCATTGCTGCTGTCTCCATCGCCACACTCTGCCATGTGCCACTTTCAGGTCTCCTCACACACTGCTGGTGTGTTGAATTTTTTGACATAGGGTGCTGGCAGATTACGGGCCTCCCATTGCTGCTGCCAGGCCCGTAATCTGCCATGGGCCCCCGTACCGACTCCTCATGCTGTGACGTTGCAACAAGGTGGAATTCAACCCTACATATGTTAGACCGCCTTTACGAACAGCAAAAGGCCATCACAGATTTCCTGATGTTAAAAAGCGGATAAAGGTACTCCCTGTGTAACTTAGATGTCAGCCATTGGCAGCTCATGCGTGACACCTGCGCTTGCTCAGGCCCTTTGAGGAGGCCCACGCTATTCGTGAGTCGGCAGGACTATGGGATGAACGACGTCATTCCTCTGTTGCACGTCCTGGAACAAATGCTGTTAACAATGGCTGGTCAGGGTGCGGTAGACGTGGCGCACAGATCTCAACGCCACATGACCCCTGTGGGGGCAGGACAGGAAGAAGAGGAGGAGGTAGAGGAGGACATTGGTGCTCAGGAATTATTGAGTGAAATGGGTGGTTTTTTCCACTCAGCGGACAGGAGTGGAGGAGCAGGAGCATCTGGTAGAGGAGGAGGAAGAGGAGACAGAGGACCCAGACGCACCGTCGCAGTATGCTGTGGAGATGGAGGCAGGGAGTCCCTCGCATTCCTTGGCACAAATGGCCCATAGCATGCTCGCTTGCTTGCGTACCGACAGCCGAATAATAAAACATCAGACAGAGGGATGACTTTTGGCTGTCCACCTTGTTGGACCCTCGCTACCGTTCCAAAATGGTGGCCTTTTTCACACCTGCTGAGAGGGAGGCCAAAATAACGTACTATAAAAACCACCTATGTAGTCAGCTGGTCTCTGCCTGTCTGCGCCAACGTCCATCCTCAGACACTGTGGGCCCTGTGCGCTCGCGTTCCGCTGCCATGGCAGCAGGGGAGGGGTGGGGTGGTAGGAGCAGTGGCAGCTCCACCAGCAGCGGCTGCCTCAGTCTGCAGTCGATGATGAGTAGCTTTCTTCACCAGCGCAGTGAGGAAAACTACTAACCAGCCGCAGCAGCAGCAGCAGCAGCAGCATCAGGTGGACCTGGAGCAGGACCTCAAACAACAGGCTTAGGCCTACTTGGACAGCACCCTGCCAACCGAGGTAGACAATCCCCTTGACTACTGGGCAACGAAACTTGACCTTTGGCCCCAACTAGCTGAATTTGCCCTTGAAAGGCTGTCATGCCCGGCCAGTAGCGTGGCATCGGAGCACGTGTTTAGTGCGGCAGGAGGTATTGCAACTCCGCGGAGGACACGACTGTCCACCCAAAGTGTGGAGAGACTCATGTTTGTGAAAATGAATCAGGCGTGGATTAGTCTGGATTTCAAACCACCAGTTCCTGACACAACTGACTAAATCCGCCATGAATCATGCCCCAAACATGTGCCACTTTCAGGTCTCCTCACACTGCTGGTGTGTTGAATTTTTTGACATAGGGTGCTGGCAGATTACGGGCCTCCCATAGCTGCTGCCAGGCCCCTAATCTGCCATGGGCCCCTATACCGCCTCCTCATGCTGCTGCCAAGTCCAGAGTCTGTCATGGGTCCCTGTACGGCCTCCCATTGCTCCCACTCTGCCATGTGCCACTTTGAGGTCTCCTCACACTCCTGCTGTTTTCCATTTTGTCATAGGTTGCTGGCAGATTACAGGCCTCCCATAGGTGCTGCCAGGCCCCAAATCTGCCATGGGCCCCCGTACCGCCTCGTCACGCTGCTGCTGGGTCCACAGTGTGACATGGGTCCCTGTACCGCCTCCCATTGCTCCCACTCTGCCATGTGCCACTTTGAGGTCTCCTCACACTCCTGCTGGTTTCCATTTTGTCATAGGTTGCTGTATGGCCTCCCATTGCTGCTGCCTCCACCGCCACACTGTGGCTCCAAACACTGGTTTTGGCCCCGTGACTGGCCAAATGAGTAAAGTGTGCGGTGATTCTAAGATCGACGGCACTCATCTGCATGTCATACTGACTGACAGTATTATTTCTCTTCCCCAGCAGACTCCAAGGGCATTTAAATTAAAGGTACAGTGTTCTGCACTAATATTAAGTCTCTCTGAAGCCTAGAAACACCCACAACCTTTGAATTACTACACCAGCTAGAAGTCCAATGCGCTATCCATTGCGCCACAGAGCCCTCTGTGATAGCTATCTTAGAGGATCTTTACTGAGGAACTACTAAAGGAGTAGAAAATAAACTCTTCCAAAATATGGCTGACAATAGAGTGTAGGAATGAACTTAAGATTCATTCCAGTTACAGTTTTGGAGCGAACGTTTCCTACTCATGTGTTCTTGTGATTGATGGATTTGTGGAGAGGCAGGCCAAAGATTAGGGATTTGCATTTTTAAAGGTGAGAGATGGCAAGGGTTGAATTGCAAGTTTAGTGGTGTCATTGGTTAAGGCGGGACATGCTTTGATAATATTATGGAGGTGAAGGTAGCAAGATTTGGAAAGTGAATGGATGTGTGTTAGAAATAGGAGAGGACAGAGTCCAGGATTACGACTAGCACGAGGGAAGAGAGAGGGATAGAATGCAGCTTAGCTTACTGCTTCCCCTCTTTGCTCCGTATTTCACAGGGTACCTCTAATCTTGTTGAATTGATTAGTCAACTCTCAAGAGAACCTTGAATTAAAAAGGCTCTATCATTAACTTTTTTAGCAAATCTACTTTACTATCGCTCCCGTATGAATGGAATCCTTTGCTTTACAGAAATAGAGCAGCAAGTGAGGAATGTAGCTATGGATGAGGTCTATATAAAACCGACTCTGGTGGGACTCGAACCCACAACCTTTGAATTACTACACCAGCTAGAAGTCCAATGCGCTGCGCTATCCATTGCGCCACAGAGCCCTCTGTGAGAGCTATCTTAGAGGATCTTTACTGAGGAACTACTAAAGGAGTAGAAAATAAACTCTTCCAAAATATGGCTGACAATAGAGTGTAGGAATGAACTTAAGATTCGTTCCAGTTACAGTTTTGGACCGAAAGTTTCCTACTCATGTGTTCTTGTGATTGATGGATTTGTGGAGAGGCAGGCCAAAGATTAGGGATTTGCATTTTTAAAGGTGAGAGATGGCAAGGGTTGAATTGCAAGTTTAGTGGTGTCATTGGTTAAGGCGGGACATGCTTTGATAATATTATGGAGGTGAAGGTAGCAAGATTTGGAAAGTGAATGGATGTGTGTTAGAAATAGGAGAGGACAGAGTCCAGGATTACGACTAGCACGAGGGAAGAGGAGAGGGATAGAATGCAGCTTAGCTTACTGCTTCCCCTCTTTGCTCCGTATTTCACAGGGTACCTCTAATCTTGTTGAATTGATTAGTCAACTCTCAAGAGAACCTTGAATTAAAAGGCTCTATCATTAACTTTTTTAGCAAATCTACTTTACTATCGCTCCCGTATGAATGGAATCCTTTGCTTTACAGAAATAGAGCAGCAAGTGAGGAATGTAGCTATGGATGAGGTCTATATAAAAACCGACTCTGGTGGGACTCGAACCCACAACCTTTGAATTACTACACCAGCTAGAAGTCCAATGCGCTATCCATTGCGCCACAGAGCCCTCCATGAGAGCTATCTTAGAGGATCTTTACTGAGGAACTACTAAAGGAGTAGAAAATAAACTCTTCCAAAATATGGCTGACAATAGAGTGTAGGAATGAACTTAAGATTCATTCCAGTTACAGTTTTGGACCGAACGTTTCCTACTCATGTGTTCTTGTGATTGATGGATTTGTGGAGAGGCAGGCCAAAGATTAGGGATTTGCATTTTTAAAGGTGAGAGATGGCAAGGGTTGAATTGCAAGTTTAGTGGTGTCATTGGTTAAGGCGGGACATGCTTTGATAATATTATGGAGGTGAAGGTAGCAAGATTTGGAAAGTGAATGGATGTGTGTTAGAAATAGGAGAGGACAGAGTCCAGGATTACGACTAGCACGAGGGAAGAGAGAGAGGATAGAATGCAGCTTAGCTTACTGCTTCCCCTCTTTGCTCCGTATTTCACAGGGTACCTCTAATCTTGTTGAATTGATTAGTCAACTCTCAAGAGAACCTTGAATTAAAAGGCTCTATCATTAACTTTTTTAGCAAATCTACTTTACTATCGCTCCCGTATGAATGGAATCCTTTGCTTTACAGAAATAGAGCAGCAAGTGAGGAATGTAGCTATGGATGAGGTCTATATAAAAAAACCGACTCTGGTGGGACTCGAACCCACAACCTTTGAATTACTACACCAGCTAGAAGTCCAATGCGCTATCCATTGCGCCACAGAGCCCTCCATGAGAGCTATCTTAGAGGATCTTTACTGAGGAACTACTAAAGGAGTAGAAAATAAACTCTTCCAAAATATGGCTGACAATAGAGTGTAGTAGGAATGAACTTAAGATTCATTTCAGTTACAGTTTTGGACCGAAAGTTTCCTACTCATGTGTTCTTGTGATTGATGGATTTGTGGAGAGGCAGGCCAAAGATTAGGGATTTGCATTTTTAAAGGTGAGAGATGGCAAGGGTTGAATTGCAAGTTTAGTGGTGTCATTGGTTAAGGCGGGACATGCTTTGATAATATTATGGAGGTGAAGGTAGCAAGATTTGGAAAGTGAATGGATGTGTGTTAGAAATAGGAGAGGACAGAGTCCAGGATTACGACTAGCACGAGGGAAGAGAGGGATAGAATGCAGCTTAGCTTACTGCTTCCCCTCTTTGCTCCGTATTTCACAGGGTACCTCTAACTTGTTGAATTGATTAGTCAACTCTCAAGAGAACCTTGAATTAAAAAGCTCTATCATTAACTTTTTTAGCAAATCTACTTTACTATCGCTCCCGTATGAATGGAATCCTTTGCTTTACAGAAATAGAGCAGCAAGTGAGGAATGTAGCTATGGATGAGGTCTATATAAAAACGACTCTGGTGGGACTCGAACCCACAACCTTTGAATTACTACACCAGCTAGAAGTCCAATGCGCTATCCATTGCGCCACAGAGCCCTCCATGAGAGCTATATTTAGAGGATCTTTACTGAGGAACTACTAAAGGAGTAGAAAATAAACTCTTCCAAAATATGGCTGACAATAGAGTGTAGGAATGAACTTAAGATTCATTCCAGTTACAGTTTTGGACCGAAAGTTTCCTACTCATGTGTTCTTGTGATTGATGGATTTGTGGAGAGGCAGGCCAAAGATTAGGGATTTGCATTTTTAAAGGTGAGAGATGGCAAGGGTTGAATTGCAAGTTTAGTGGTGTCATTGGTTAAGGCGGGACATGCTTTGATAATATTATGGAGGTGAAGGTAGCAAGATTTGGAAAGTGAATGGATGTGTGTTAGAAATAGGAGAGGACAGAGTCCAGGATTACGACTAGCACGAGCACGAGGGAAGAGAGGGATAGAATGCAGCTTAGCTTACTGCTTCCCCTCTTTGCTCCGTATTTCACAGGGTACCTCTAATCTTGTTGAATTGATTAGTCAACTCTCAAGAGAACCTTGAATTAAAAGGCTCTATCATTAACTTTTTTAGCAAATCTACTTTACTATCGCTCCCGTATGAATGGAATCCTTTGCTTTACAGAAATAGAGCAGCAAGTGAGGAATGTAGCTATGGATGAGGTCTATATAAAACCGACTCTGGTGGGACTCGAACCCACAACCTTTGAATTACTACACCAGCTAGAAGTCCAATGCGCTATCCATTGCGCCACAGAGCCCTCCATGAGAGCTATCTTAGAGGATCTTTACTGAGGAACTACTAAAGGAGTAGAAAATAAACTCTTCCAAAATATGGCTGACAATAGAGTGTAGGAATGAACTTAAGATTCATTCCAGTTACAGTTTTGGACCGAAAGTTTCCTACTCATGTGTTCTTGTGATTGATGGATTTGTGGAGAGGCAGGCCAAAGATTAGGGATTTGCATTTTTAAAGGTGAGAGATGGCAAGGGTTGAATTGCAAGTTTAGTGGTGTCATTGGTTAAGGCGGGACATGCTTTGATAATATTATGGAGGTGAAGGTAGCAAGATTTGGAAAGTGAATGGATGTGTGTTAGAAATAGGAGAGGACAGAGTCCAGGATTTACGACTAGCACGAGGGAAGAGAGGGATAGAATGCAGCTTAGCTTACTGCTTCCCCTCTTTGCTCCGTATTTCACAGGGTACCTCTAATCTTGTTGAATTGATTAGTCAACTCTCAAGAGAACCTTGAATTAAAAAAGCTCTATCATTAACTTTTTTAGCAAATCTACTTTACTATCGCTCCCGTATGAATGGAATCCTTTGCTTTACAGAAATAGAGCAGCAAGTGAGGAATGTAGCTATGGATGAGGTCTATATAAAAACCGACTCTGGTGGGACTCGAACCCACAACCTTTGAATTACTACACCAGCTAGAAGTCCAATGCGCTATCCATTGCGCCACAGAGCCCTCCATGTGAGCTATCTTAGAGGATCTTTACTGAGGAACTACTAAAGGAGTAGAAAATAAACTCTTCCAAAATATGGCTGACAATAGAGTGTAGGAATGAACTTAAGATTCGTTTCCAGTTACAGTTTTGGACGAAAGTTTCCTACTCATGTGTTCTTGTGATTGATGGATTTGTGGAGAGGCAGGCCAAAGATTAGGGATTTGCATTTTTAAAGGTGAGAGATGGCAAGGGTTGAATTGCAAGTTTAGTGGTGTCATTGGTTAAGGCGGGACATGCTTTGATAATATTATGGAGGTGAAGGTAGCAAGATTTGGAAAGTGAATGGATGTGTGTTAGAAATAGGAGAGGACAGAGTCCAGGATTACGACTAGCACGAGGGAAGAGAGGGATAGAATGCAGCTTAGCTTACTGCTTCCCCTCTTTGCTCCGTATTTCACAGGGTACCTCTAATCTTGTTGAATTGATTAGTCAACTCTCAAGAGAACCTTGAATTAAAAGGCTCTATCATTAACTTTTTTAGCAAATCTACTTTACTATCGCTCCCGTATGAATGGAATCCTTTGCTTTACAGAAATAGAGCAGCAAGTGAGGAATGTAGCTATGGATGAGGTCTATATAAAACCGACTCTGGTG